CGGAATGACCCATCTGGCGGCATTAAGAGATTTAAGAGATATCGCTATGAGATTCAAGACTTTACGGATGGTATAGGGCCGATCGGTCAAAAATGTCTAAGTCTTATGATACGAAATTCATATCAATCGAGTTTTATACCAATTCAGGTAACCATCAAATTCTAACAACAAATTCTCATTCTTTCCGATTCAGTGAGTATTCTATTCGATAGTTCAGCTATGGAAAACAGCAATGCTTCATGCATCATGAAAATAATCGTACTACTTGTAGTCGTTAATCAGCGTTCAGCAGAAATATCGTAAGAAATCGATCACTAATCCGTGATCAATAATTTTTCTTGAGATGGAAATTTTGCTAAAAACGAAAAATATATAGGTACAACGACTTAAAATATGTTGTAATAATTGATCTTCAAGTGTATTAAAAGCTTCGGTTTTTTTTTTCTTTTTTTTTTCAAAGCCATTCAATTTAGATGAAGGTTTATAAGGCTCCATGTTAAACATTTAGCCTTGATTGTACCGGATATAAGTATATATATTTCTTATATATGCAAGATCGGACAGCTAGTGACCTCTCGCTTCAACAATACTTCTACAATACTCCTATTTCTCCTGCTCTCATGTGCATGTCTTTCAATCGAAAAAAAGAACAGAATTAAAGACACCAAAAGCCAACGATCATAATTACGTGGCTAACCTTAAGAGTTGACACAAATCCGGGCTGGAGCCCGTTCCCAGCAATTAACTTCAAATGACACCAAATGCCACCGAGGCACGCCACCAAAGCCAGGGCCCCACAGAGCCACAGCAGTTGTCGAGTCGCTGGGGCGCCGCCCACCAGCCCGCCACCAAGCCGAGAGGAATATCGCAAGTGAACGGCAACTTTGATGACGCCCACAAGGCGACAACAACCATAGATGATGATCATCAATGCTGGGTATATGGGCATGGGGCATGGGGCATGGAGCATGGAGCATGGAGCATGGAGCAGCTTTCGGTTTATTTGATCAGCGAGTGTACGACTAGCATTCCATTGATTTGTAATAAAAGGGAAGATCGATTGAAGAAAAGAGACAGAGAGAGAGAGAGATACAGAGAACGGAGGAAGTCTTACAGTGGTGTAATTTTTCCGAGATGTATCTGACAGCTACACAATCCATTCACACATTCGCACACTCCCCTTGAAGTGCAATTGAAATACTGTGTGAAATTTTTGCAGCTCAAGCCTTGCCTAAAGTACAGTGATAAACCGCTTAAGCGGAAATCAAGTCCATCCAGTACTAGTGGTATAAATATTTAATAGATCCGTGTAGATCTGTGTAGATGGTAGATGGGAGCCCCTTCTGTGCGATACAACTCCATCTATTAGTACACGCTTCGCCTTGCCTTTGTGCCTTTTTGCAGCCCCTTCACTCCTCAGTACTGCTCCACCCCTCCACCCCACCCCTCCACTGGTCCCCATCCAACCCCTTCTGGGCCGCACTTTGGTTCGTGGCTCATTCAATTCAAATACTTCGTGATTTCGTCAGCCCGATTTTGCTGTTGCTGCTGCGGCTGCGGCTGCTGTTGCTGCAGCTTATTCGAGGCCATTGAGAGTGGCAGACGGGGCAGCGGGGTGTCGGGGAAGATAGCTGAAAGTACGACTTGAACTGCTCTTTGGCGATGCAGCTGGACAACGACGGCGTTTGCTGTCAAGAGATTTGCAGTTGCTTGATACCCTGTAATTGTAGAGCATCAGTCGGTATATAGATTACATATAAATCTATGCAGCAGACGTATGGAAGTCTTTTTGATATACAGCCAGAGAAAAAGCACTGAGAACGGATTAATTACTCCTGCATTTTCAAATGTATAGCAGTATATTTTCCTTCAGTCGTTCCTATTTGCCAGCCAGAGGCATTTGACATTGTCGGAGATCAGTTCCAAAATCAATCAATTGAGTTATTCTAATTTCGTATCCGTTCAAAAACAATGTGTATTTTTAAATAGATAAAATATATTTTATATTTAAATTAATTATATAGTAGTTCATTTTTCGAATAAATATATTTCCTAAAAATGGAATATTATAATTGTTTTAAAGTGTTTTAGATTTACATTAAATACAAGCCGCATTAAAAAGACTCTCATATATTTTTAATATATTTAATTGAATTTCTGTTTCATTTCGCTATGTTAGTACCTGAAAAATGAAAATTTTCTTTCAAATATGGGTGTGTGGGGTTCAGATTATTACTATATATATTATTTTACATTACTTCATTTTAGTTTATTGCCTAATTTTGTCGAATCAAAATAAAACCAAGTTCTCTCCAAATTTGTACAATAAACCAAAAGCAACAGCATTGATAACCAGAAAATGCTGAAGGAAGATCCAGGCAGTTCTCTATACTTCTCTATAAACCAAGATTTGTCTGCATCCGTTATGTTATGGGAAATCAACATCATGCTCAAGCCGAGAAGAGTGTTTCGAGTACGGGGTATCACTTTGACGGGAGAATCGACTATGGCTATGGTTAACTTTGGTTTCTGTTTTGGTTTGTTGCTTTTGGTTTGTGTGTATTTTGTTGTTAGTGTGGTGGCGTGATGACCTTGAGCCGCTCTTTTCAGCCAAGTGGCTTTGTGTTGGCCAAGTGTCTGTCTGTCTGTCTCTCTGTCGGTCTGTCTTTATGTCTCTCCGAAGGTGTTACCCAGTTCCAGTTACTTCTGGCAGCTCTCCGCCGTGTGCATTCTACGAGTATCTATATCGCAATGAGAGACACGCGGAAAGAGAGGGAAGGGGTAAAGAGATTGAGAGAGAGAGTGAAGGAAAGTCGGTAAGAAAAATCAATGGCAGCAATGAACCTTCTCTCAGTATGCCCTTCCATTTTATACTCTATTTCTTGACAGAACTTCCATTTTGAATGGGAATCTTAGCTACGAAACACTTAGTATCTTAAATTGGCAGTGAGTCCCCAAATGATTGAACAAACAAATATTTACTTGGTCTCTGCTCTGTGTATCGGATGCCTGATTTCCGTGAGTACCCGGGGAGGGGATGGCTTTCCATTCCACTATTTCTGAGCGATGCGCGATATACATACATATGTACATATGTACTTATTTCTATCCCGAAAAAATGCAGATAATCAGAGCCGCACCTACACTTCCATCATCCACCGATCGTGACCAGTTCCAGCCTCCAACGCTGTTGCATGTTAGTCGAACAACAGTGGCTGAAGTTGACTGGACCCCATCAGGATCCACATATAATTCAATCACCGAAACAAAAGTCCCCGAAGGCGGCAGACAAAACAGCGCTTTTGTGGCATATGTTGCCACAAATCCCGCCCCGACTGCACTTCGGAACACGCTCAGGGCACCCACCGATCCTGTCAAGCTCAAGCCTGTTTTAAGCTCAATCCTTCAGAGACTTGGAGCTAGGATCACGGCGCCTTTAAGCTCGAACCATTCAAGCCTCGGGTCCAAGTATCCAAAGACTCGAAAAAACACATTGATTCCGTACGTTTCCAGTGTCCCAGAAACCAGAAATCTAGGGCTGGTGCTGGTTCATCGCTCGACCAAAAATGCTCAAGGCAACCGTAGTTTACCCGGACTCAAATCTAATATTGATGGCGAAGAAAAAACCAAAGACAGAATTCAGACTAAGAAGCCTGCCCAAACTCCTTTGAGGTCAAGCCGTCCGCACTCTACGATTAAGCGTCCAGAGACATGGAAGAGCCGACTGACTCCAACCAGAAATCAAGGGCTATTACTGATGGGCCTCAGTAGCCCATCCGGGCCCAAAAAAAGCAGGCAGATGAGTATGAGGCGTTCAACCAGAAAACTGGTCGCAAACGCAAACGGACATAAAATACACCGTAATATTTCTATTCCCGTGGAGCTTACAATACCAATGAAATATCTGGCCAGAGCAAAGTACGAGAAGGCGATCAAATATCTGCCCAGGAATGCGGAGGAGGAGAACGACGAGGAGGAGGAGGAGGAGGAGGAGGAGGAAGAAGAAGAAGATAAGGAGGATGAGGAGGATGAGGAGGAGGATGAGGAGGATGAGGATATTGACCATTACCTAAAGACTAATACAATAGTATACACCGACCCACCTGTGTGGATGGACACGCGGTACCATTTCCAGCACAACAGCCGACAGCCCCGACTCCGCTTAGAGTCCAATCCATTGCTGGAGTACTACCCCGAAGATAAGAATATAGATGTCGTGTGCAGGGATGCGTCAACAATCATGGGAACGGATATTGTTACGAGCTTTATTAAGCCCTATATCTATCAGAAGTCCTACGGCAAAAGAAACCTTGACAGGAAATGGCGGGACGATTTAACCCGCATTAAACTCCTAGTTTATTGCCACACCGCTGACCAAACTTCTGTCTTTTCATTTCTGGAATGCACCACTAATCGCCACATGGCCTTTGAGTCTGTGATGCCCAAATATCCATACCACCAGGTCCAAGCAGGTCCACAGTAGGCCTGTTTTGTAAATCTGGATCGGAAAACTGGAACTGGAACTGAAACAGAACACCATGGAGTGTTCTGCTGATCTTTGGAGAGGCTGCACCAAATCTCGGCTATCGTCTGTTGTTCAAGGCAAAGAAAGGCGCCTGATTCACCACGTACTATATCCTTTGTAGTCTGTGAAAGTCAAATAAAGTCGATGCCGAATATATGTCTTTCAATTTGCAACACTCTTACTGTCCCTAAGGACTTCCCACTCATTCCTTTCCCATTCGCCAACTGAATGAGCTAAAGCACAAATCTCTATAGAGATTATATAGAGTGTGCAATCCATCCAACTCAATGTTCGATTGTGAAAGTGAAGGAAAGTCGGTAAGACAATTCAATGGCAGCAATGAAACCTCCCTTAGTATGCCCTTCAATTGTATACCCAATTTACTGACAGAATTTAAATATTTGTTGCCATTTGTGTACAATTGAAATCTTCACAGGGAAACTCTTAGTGTTTTAAATTGACAGTGAAATCGGTAAGGGTTGTCCTGAATGTTGAACCATTTGTTTTTTGCCCTGTTCATGGGTTGCCTGATCTGCGTAAGTACCCGTGGATGGTGTTGGAGGGGGGTGGTTCGAATGTATTTCCATTTCCATTCCATAATTTTTGAACGTTACTAAACTTATCTCTTTCCCGAATAAATGCAGATAATCAGAGCCGCACCTACACTGCCAGCGTCCACGGTTCGTGTCCACTTAAAGCCTTCTTCAAGCTTCTTCAAACACCCGCCACGGACAACCACATCCAAGGGACTTGCCATTTCCAAAGTTAATTCCACAACTCATGACTGGTGGTATTTTAGATCGAAAACATTTGATTCCAACAGAAAAGCAAAGGTCCAAGGAATCGGAAATGAAAAGAGGCTGGTGCTGCTGGATCTTCGTCCGACCACAAATTCTCAAAACTTCAGTACCCCATCAGGACGCAAATCAGATATTAATATCGAAAAAGAAAACGAAGACAAAAGGCTGAGTAAAAAGCGTTCCCACGTACGGGTCGTGGTTCCTTTAAGCTCAACCCGTCTGAGCGTTGGCGCTAAGGATCCAAAAACACGGAAAATCGGAGTAACTCCGAATACTTCCATGTTTCCAGCAACCAGAAATCAAGGACTGTTGCTGCTGGATCCGCGTCCGGCCACAAATGCTCAAAACCTCAGTGCGTCATCAATACAAAAATCTCATATTAAAGGCGAGGGCAGACCGCAGACTAAAAATCGTTCCCAAATAAGACGCACGACGTCCTTGACGTCAATCCATCGGAGCGTTGGGGTCGATGATCGAAAGACACGGAAAATCGGAGTGACATCGAACGCTTCCACGGTTCCAGCAACCAGAAATCTAGGACTGATGCTGCTGGATCCTGGTCCGATCACATATTTTCAAAACCTCAGTAGCCCCCCATCCGGATTCAGAAGCCAGGTACAAAAAACCACCCGTGAAATTCCCATGGAGCTTACAATACCGATGAAATATCTGGTGAGTCCGCAGAACGTGTTGATGATGGACGCGGTACTGGAAGATGATCAAATGATACATACCGAAGCACCTGTGTGGAAGGACACGCGTTACCATTTCCAGCACCAAAGCCGACAACCTAGAATACGCCTAGAGTCGAGTCCAATAATGGAGTTCTATCCCGATGATGGGAAGATAAACACCGTGTGCTGGAACAAATCAACCATTAGTGGAACGGATATGGTTATGAACTATATTAAGCCCCATATCTATAAAAAGCCGTACGGCAAGAGGCGCCTTTACCCTGCATTTCGAAAGGCAAATGGCACATCGGGTATGCCATTGTTATTCTGCCACAGTTCGGATTCGGTTCCAGTTCAAATGTTTTTGAAATGTATGATAATGCGCCACATGATGATGGAGTCGTTGGTACCCAAATATCCCTACCACCAGGTCCAACCAGGTCCATAATAGTGCTGCTAAAGCTGAAACTAAACACCATGGAGGGTCCTGCTGCTATTTTTTGATCTGATCATCTGATGATCTTTTGATCTGCATTGATTTTGTTTTATCATAGTATACATTGTTCTTTCATTCCCCAATGGAATTGTGGAATAGTCTCATTTCCAATATAAAAATTCATAGTGTTACATGTGCATATTCGAGTTATTTATTTCTTAAATTTGCTGTGAATAAAACAATTAGGATACTCGAAAATGTACAAGATAAGCGTGATGGTTTTCCTCTGCCTCTGTTGCTTTATTACCGTAAGTCGATCAAAAAAACAGTTTGATAAACCATTCAACCAATCATTCAAATCCTTTTAGACGATTCCCTTGAATCGCCGTCATCTAGTCGGACCGCAAGGCACTTACCCAGTGAATACATCGCACATGATGGAAATAGCTGGTAATCGCAGCAGACTGGTGGTCGACTATGATCTTGGGTTGAGCGACCAGGCAAAAGATTCGATAAGTGCTGGTCGGGGTATCCGACTCTTCCAAATTCCCTCATTTGCCAATGCTCAAACCAAGAGGGAGTATACGGGAGCAATAAACACAACGGGGGACATCACTTCTTCGCATAGATCTACTAAGAACTATGACGAGAAACGAAAGCCTAGAGCAAGGGACGGAGAAGGAGAGGGAGGAGGAGGAGGAGGAGGAGGAGGAGAGGGAGAGGTAGTAGTTAACGAAGCTCAAGAAAAGACAAGAGCAAGAGACGGCGACGGCGACGGAGAAGGTGGAGATGTAGTCCAATCCCAAGAAAAGCCAGTTGACGATGTACTTGCGATGGATCAGGAAGACGACGAGGAGGGATCAGACAAGGATGAAGAAGAAGTGATGGAAAATAAATTGAGTACAGTAAGCAGTGCCAGAAAGGAGTTGAAGGTTACACAATTAGACCCAGACCCAGAATTATTACCAGAACCAGAAGCAGAAGACGAAGAGGATCGAGATGATGACGATGTGGAGGAGATTGAAGATCTGGCGAAAAAATCAGATGCTGCTGAGCAAAATATGGGCTTCAAGGACCTACTCGGACCGAAGACACCAAGAGGCTTTGGCTTTCTTAACAAACAAGGGGACAGCGGATTTAGAGAAGCCATATCCTATGCCGGCAGTTGGAAGGACACGCGCAGGGAGGAGTGGAGAAGTGCGCTCGCTCGTGCCGGCGTTATGTCCAATCCCCTCGAGGACTACTATCCATCAAACACGAAAAATATCAGCACGGTGTGCAAAGATAGATCGTCGATAATGAATTTTCCAAGAGTCGTTAAGTGGCTGCACAAGGTTCTCACAAACATCACATACACCCAGCGGCCAATCTTCGTCGAGCTTAGGCGGGAGCTGTTCAAATTCGGCAAATCGGAGTTGTGCCACAAAACTACAATGGTTAAATGGAAGGATTATCAATACTGCGCCCTCATGCGCAATCAGCGGATGGAGTACATGATTCCACATTATCCGCTGCACCAAATCGGCTATCGTCTGTTGTTCAAGGCAAAGAAAGGCGCCTGATTCGCCAGTTACTATCTCCTTTGTAGTCTGTCGAAATCAAAAAAAAAATGGATGCGGAATATCTGTTTTGTGACAACACTCGACAACAACACTTTATCGAAGGACTTTCCACTCACTCCTTCTGAAGTGGGTTTCACAGCTTTCATACTGATATTTATATCGGGGTATCTTTCCCGTAGCCCTTAACTGTCAGCACAAACTGAGGAGCCTGGGCATATTATTCCAAAGGCTAAAAACAAAATACAGACACAGCACAAAAAATACATGAACGATGAAAGTAAATTATCTAGTGTATGTTGCCATTGGGTGCTTGATCGTAAGTACCATCCCACAGAGTATTCGATGCCATAAACACGGTGCAATAATGTCCTACAGATGATGCCTTTTATGGGGGATACCATGCCAATGATAGCCAATGAAGGTGTCACGAAACTGAGCGAAGAAACTGATGCCTCCTCCGCCAGACAGCCTCATAGCGAGCAGCTGCTAATGAAGGGTATCACTGAAGCTGAATATCTGGATCGGCAGGACATGCAGATGGCGGCAGATAACTCTGATCTGGGCCTTCGCATGTTTCCCATAGTATATCGAAGCGAGCCGCCTCCTCGTGAAGCACCTCGCAGCACTGGACCACCCCAGTTGGAAAATAAGTGGACTAGACGGTCTAGTGTCGATCCCCTCCTCAACTTCTGGGCCAAGGCCGAGGATAAAGTAACTAAAGGAACTACTAAGTTACTACCAAGAAAATATGACGAAGTGGAGGCTGAAGCTGGCAAAGAAAGTGATGGTGCTGGTGCTAGTGCTGGTTCTGGTACCGGTGCTGGTGCTGTCGATCAGAGAGCTGGTACAGAGATGACCATATCCGTGCCGCGATACGTGACTGATCATATGGGTAAATGGGTATTCAATCCGTGGGGCGTCACTTTCGGGGATGTTTGGGAAGATACTCGTTTCCAGTTTGATGGCAAACATTCTGTGCCGTGGATCCTGGTAGATAATGGCGATGCTGGCGCGTATCGGATGGAAAAGCTTCATGGATCAGTGTGCCAGGGCAAGTCGACCATTTACAACGTTCCCAAAATATACAAATGGTTTCCACGTTATATTGATACGAAAAAACGCAATCACCGGAACATCCTAGTTAATCTGAGAAAGGAGATCTACAAAAATGGCAGATCCGAGAACTGCCACACCGCGGACTTAGACGATTGGTACGCGTACATGTACTGCTCTCTATTGCGAAATATGCGGATGGACTATTTGGTACCCAATTATCCTCTCCACCGTTGGTATAACACCGACTAATACCACCCATACCATCTATCCGATATTCCCATTACCATTCTAGTGTTGTGAATGAAATAAAACTGAAAATATTTGTTTTGTGTATAATATTGATGCGTTTTTATACCTGATACTGAAAGATTATAGGGGTATACTAGGTTTGTGGAGCAATTGGATGTATGTAACACTCAGAAGAAAGATATATTCTTGATCAGTCGATACAGCTCCCATATACTCTCCTTCGAGCAGAGTGTGCCCTCTGACGAGCCGCGGCCCGTGCAGCGCCTCACAACTCTCCCGCTCGTTCACCATAGATTTCTACACGTAGAAATGCGAAGGGAAGGACCTGCTCATTCCGAAGATGTCAAGAGACCATGGATTTCTTAAAAACAAGAAGGCATATCCTATGCCGGCAGTGGGAATGGCGCAGGAAGGAATGGTGAAGTGCTCTCGCTCGTTCCGGCATTATGTCCAATCCCCTCGAGGGATTGAATGAATCGATGGTTTGCACGGTGTGCAAAGATAAATCGTCGATAGTGAATTTTCCATAAGTCAATAAGTGGCTGCACAAGGTTCTCACGAACATCTCATATCTCTAGCGGCATATTTCGCCGAGCTTAGACGGGAGCTTTACAAACTCGGCAAATCGGAGATGTTCCACCTGACTGATATGGTTAATGTATGATATGATATGTATATTGGGGTATTTTTCCCGTAGCCCTTGACAGTCGTCAACCGAATCTCTATATCTATAGACATTTCGAGGAGAAACTGAGGAGCATGGGCATATTGTTCCATCTGTACTGCTAATATTTGTAGTATCATTTAGTCGTCTCAAAGGCTAAAAACAAAATACAGACAACACAAAAAATACATGAACGATGAAAGTAAATTATCTAGTGTATGTTGCCATTGGGTGCTTGATCGTAAGTACCATCCCACAGAGTATTCGATGCCATAAACACGGTGCAATAATGTCCTACAGATGATGCCTTTTATGGGGGATACCATGCCAATGATTGCCAATGAAGGTGTCACGAAGCTGGGCGAAGAAACTGGTGTCTCCTCCGCCAGACAGCCTCATAGCGAGCAGCTGCTAATGAAGGGTATCACTGAAGCTGAATATCTGGATCGGCAGGACATGCAGATGGCGGCTGGTTACTCTGCTTATGGCAGACAGAAAAAGGCGCAGGATATGCAGAGTGACGCCAGAAAGGAAAAGAACCAGGATTTGCAAAGTTATGGCGGACTGGAACAGGAGCAGGATATGCAGATGGCGGCTGATAACTCCGGTCTGGGCCTTCGCATGTTTCCCAAAGTATATCGAAGCGATCCGCCACCTCGTAAAGGACATCGCAGCACTGGACCACCCCAGTTGGAAAATAAGTGGACTAGACGGATTAGTGTCCATCCTCTCCGCACCAAGGGTCTCCTCAACTTCTGGGCCAAGGCCAAGGATAAAGCAACTAAAGGAACTACTAAGTTACTACCAAGAAAATATGACGAAGTGGAGGCTGAAGATGGTAATGAAAGTGATAGTGCTGGTGCTGATTCTGGTGCTGATTCTGGTGCTGGTGCTATCGAACAGAGAGCTGGTACAGAGATGACCATATCCGTGCCGCGATACGTGACTGATCATATGGGTAATTGGGTATTCAATCCGTGGGGCGTCACCTTCGGCGATGTTTGGGAAGATACTCGTTTCCAGTTTGAAGGCAGAAATTGGTTGCCATGGGTCCAGATAGATTTACCCGAACGTGGCGAGTATCGGATGGAAAAGCTTCATGGATCAGTGTGCCAGGGCAAGTCGACCGTTTACAACCGTCCCAGAATATACAAATGGTTTCCACGGTATATTGATACGAAAAAACGCAATCACCGGAACATCCTACTTAATCTGAGATCGGAGATCTACAAAGATGGCAGATCCGAGAACTGCCACACCGCGGACTTAGACGATTGGTACGCGTACATGCACTGCTCTCTATTGCGAAATATGCGGATGGACTATTTGGTACCCAATTATCCTCTCCACCGTTGGTATAACACCGAGTAATACCACCCATACCATCCGTCCGTTATTCCCATTCCCAGTGTAGTGTGAATGAAATAAATCTGAAAATATTTGTTTTGGTTACTCAAAGATTATACGGGTATACTAGGCGTGTGGAGCAATTGAATGTATGTAACACTCAGAAGAAAGATATATAGTTGATATATGTAGCTCCCACACACTCTTCTTCGAGCAGAGTGAGTCACTCTGGCGTGTGACTGAGGAGCTCGTTCACCATAGATTTCCACGATAAATTAGTTGATTAGTTGAAGTATTGATAATTTAGAACAAGAACAACAAAATTGTATTTATCCCAAAACAAAAAAAAAGGAAAAATCCCAAGGTGCACAGCAGATGAAACAGAAAGAATTATTTGACTTGAGCAAAAACGTCAGTTTTGGCGGTTGAAATGGATTCGATAGATACAATAATACTACAATCGATAGACCTTTGCATTAAATTTCGAAAACATTTTGTGATCTTGAAACATTTGGAACACATTTATACAAACAATTGGGAAGCATCTCCTGAGAGGCACATGATGAAAAATTATCTTGTTTTTGGCATCACCTGTCTAATCAGCGTGAGTTCGGGAGTGGACTTTTATCGTTTTTTTATTCTTTATATTATCCGAAACTCCACTTCTCTTCTCTTCGGTGCGGTGTGGTGTGGTGTGGTGTACACTGTACAGGCATCATCGTTTTCCTTCGTGGTGGAGGCGGCCACAATTGGTCGAAATGGTCGTCCACGTCTTACCCTATCGATGACTGCGCAGTCTAGGAGTGCCATCCAATCGATGCGTGAGTTCGCCCTATATATGGGTCCCAAAGGATTGCAGCCCACACCCGAGGAGTCCTCACGCCAGCGTATGCTGGATTTTGAGCTTATTCCCCCAGCACAACGCCAAATGTTGGCGGATGACGAAAGCTTGCCCTATGAATTGAGAAGTCAATTACCGGAGTTCCAAGCGAAACAGAATGCTGGCAATCCACGCGGCATCAAGTGCAGGAGAAGGGCTGACTTACAACAAGAAAGGGATGTAGAAGGGAATAAGAAGGATGCTGCAGGATCTGGCAGCTCTGATACAGAGTTTGCTGAGTGTAATGTCTCTGATGAAGATTCTAACGACACTTCAGGAGCGGACGATCCATTGATTGCGATTCAATTTGTATTTTCTATGATATCGTTCGCCCCACTAGTCCCACTAGTACTATTGTAATTACTATAAATTCGTTTCGAGTAATTTTGTAATTCAGGGGCTACTGGTGTTTTCTGTGCAGACGAAAAGTGGCACGTCGCTCACCTTCGTTTCGGGCCGCAAGAACGAAAGAAGTTCAGCTCTCAAGTGCTGCTGTTGCATTTCTGCTGCCACCGTTCATTTGCTGTTGCATTTCGCGAAACTGTCACAACCGATGACCCAATTGTGTACTTGGGATTGGGTTGGGGTATCCACATTACAGACACACTCGTGTACTGGTAGAGGGTCTTAGTTTACTGAGTTAGCAAGAAGTGCTGTGCAGTGCCGTGCCATGCCGTGCCGTGCCGTGCCGCCTGAAATGTAGCAACAGCAGCGCTTCCATACACATACATACGAGCGCAGCGATTTTTCATAAATAATTGGAGCAGCTTGCCAGCGTTGCTCACGCTTTTTGGGCAAGGTAACAGCAGCATTTGGCCAAGGTAAGAACAGCCCTCATAAACATACAAACAAAGCAGCAAAAATTTGGAAAAATTTGGAAAAATTCGGAAAAGAAAATCTTTCACAGAGACAGGCCTTATCTGAGTGGGGGAGGACAGAGTGAGTCCTGTTGTCGCTGCTGATAAGGAAAAATCAATAGCCGATAAGCGTCCTGGTTATCACAGGAGGACAGGATTGGTTATCTTTATCTTTGCGTATCTGCGTATCTGCGCAGGGGTGGCAACAATCTTAATTATAACATTTAAATATGTATATCCTGCCCTGGATATCGCTCTTTGACATTCCCTCTGATAATAAAATCAATAACTTTGCATCGAAGGATCGAAGGAAATCGTCCACTATCGTCCCCGCTGCATTATCAGCGCATTCTTTGGGAGGGGGCGTTGACCATGCGGCTCTTCCGTTTGTTATCAGCAGCAAATGGTTATTTATTTACCCACCGAGCAACAACAACAACAACAACAACAACAACAAAGTCTGGGACATTGTCCGACAATGACTTCAGAATCCTCCTGGAATGGGCGGAAGACCGCAGCGGCGGCTTATCACCATCGACCCGACGACGGACGCAGAATGGGGCAGGGCGTAAATAATACACTGCAAAGGCAGAGGCAGGGAGGTAGTCTCCTAGTTTTTCCTAGCCCTGTGGAAAAGCGGGAGAAAAACGTGCGATAGGCCAAGGGGCAAATAGGAGAAAGAGAACACCAAGAAAAAGAGCTGGAAAAAAGCAGAACAGAAAAGAAAAGCAAAACCTTTGGCGCTGGCAAAGTGCATTCGCCTCGGAAGGGAAGTCACTGCCAGGAGGAGTCGCTCGTCGGTCGTCGGTCGCCTCTTGGCCTCTTCACTCGTACAGTGGGATAGTCGTATCATACAGTGGGATAGTACCATGGAGTGCCATGGAGTGCTCAAGTGATAAAGAGAGAGAGAGAGAGAGAGAGGCCGCGTAGAATCCATTAGCAGTCGCATGGAGCTCCCTGCGGGCAGGGGGAGGGCCAGCAGCAGCAGCAAAAAAGAAAGAAAAAAAAAAAAACGAGCATGTGAATGAAAATGGAAATGGAAATGGGTGCATGTGGAGCTGCAGCCAAGTGGCTGCATCCCGGACTCTCTTTTTTTTCTCCCACTCTTTCTGCGTAAGAAATACAAAGGGTTCAATGCACGATTTCTCTCTCCTCCTTCTGCCTCTGCCCCTGCCCCTGCCACTGCCTCTGCTACTGCCTCCTCGTCTGCCGCTGCTTCGTGTCTTGTGTGAGTCTTTGAGTCGTTGCCATGGGAAAATCGCCGCAGGGAAATCCGCTTGGGGCGCATGGGCAAAGCGACTCTCAGCAGGATCAACCCTCGCCTTCATACAGCTATTCCCCTAATTACATTTAATTAAAAATTCAGAATAAAAAGCTGATTCTGCTGGTACTCTGCGCCAAAAGGATCGCCCCCGATGGCCCGGCTGCCTGATAGCCTTAATTGAGGTCGAAAAGCGAATTCAATTTATAATTTTCTTTCAATCGAAACAAACACGCGTCAGGCTGCAAGTCGCATCATCAATGGGAATTATGCAGGATCGTGTATGCATAATACATTCGAATGGGGGCAGGATCGATACGAGAACGACTATGTCTGGGAACGAATGATGGAAGAGAGAGAAGTCTCAGCTTAATTTCCCTTGACTTTCCGCTACTTGGTTGCACATAACTATCCACAAGATCGTTCCACCTTATTAGATTATATTTCTAATTAGAAATAGCAATCGATTTGAGCGTATCCTCGGGCATAGTTCATTGAACGTTGGGCTGGAAAAGTCCCAATGGTAAACCCAGAGAAATATCAAAACCCAAACAAAGGCAAACCAAACAATAAGCGCAGGCAAATGAAGATAAAAAGAGGCATACAGATGCAGGATAAGAAAAGTCAGTGAGAACAATCGAAAGACAGAAGGTAAATGAATAGAAAAGCCGGGGACAATAAAGGACTGATGAAGTCAGCAAAGACTGAGGACTGAGGACTGAGGACGCTTGCCGATCACGTGGACTTGAGACAAAAGGATCCCGAGATTCCCGAAATCCTCGTAGATGTGCGTGCTGCGATACGCGTGTGTTCCCCGAACAGCAACAGCAGCAACAGCAACAACAGCAGGACACGCCCACGCACAAGTAATACGATCCCCTAACGATCCTCTACAATCCTATCCTCCTACGAGTCTTTACGAGTTGGTGTTGCTTCTTGGTGTTGAGTAATTTGTGGGCTGCCCGGCGATAAAAATCTGTTAATCGATGGACAAACATAAACAGCGAGGCAAGGAGTCCCAGGAGCGCGGCAGGGGTTGACTTAACCCCTAGAGCGTGACAAGGGTGCGGTGGGCGGGGTGTGCTCCGATCGGTAGCAGCCTCCTTCTGGGCGAATGCTGGCGGTGGTCTATTTCCGTCTTTATGTGGGTCCACGCTTCTTCTCGGGGGTTGCAACGTTGCCTCATTTGGGGGTAAGTTAAGGCTATTTCCGTACTCTTGCCAGTCAATGTGTGGGTTTGTCAATCTTCATTACGATTCACAATTCGAAATGAAATACCCGCAGATCGGTAGAAGTTCCTTGGTGGGACAGGACTTTAATTGATCTGGACGGAGGACGGGACGGGTCGGGGGACCCTAAATCTCCATAGAAAATCAATTAATTTGCCATCGAACACATCGAAAAGTCGTCACTCACCTAAAAATATCCACAGAGAGATCTCGATCTCGATAAATTGGGAAATTCCTTCTCCAATTTGGTTTATTTTTATGTAAATCAATCAACCCAAGGAGAGATCCAGTCCGAAAGGCATGAACATTTTAGCTTGAACGGAATTCTCATTAGAGGCAAATTCCTGTTCCTTTGTCTATCCCACAAATTGCCGATAGATACAAACACACACACAGACACAGACACAGACACAGACACAGACATACATATTTGTATCTATTTTTACTGGGGGGAAAATGCCAGAGAGAGAGAGAGCGACCGAGGATTGCCGCCGTCATCGTCATCGTCGCCTCCTCGACGTTGTCATAGCGTACGCAATTTCCTTCCTGCTTCTGCGGACGTGGATGCGGTGCAGCAAATAGCTGTAATAATAAAACCGACGATTTCTTCCAGCCACAGCCTCAGTCTCAGTCTTGGTCCCGGTCTCCAGTCCCAGGTCTCAGGTCCCAGGTCCCAGGTCCCAGTCCCTGTTTCTGTCTCTGTTTGTGCCGCTGCCGCCGCCTGTTTATGGCCGAAGCCTCTCTGGCCTGGCTGTAGGATGCGACAAGAAAAGCAGGAAAAACTCCTTGGCCGCGGCCACACACAAGCACACACTCACACACTCACACACTGTATCCACAGATACAGGCTGACAGTCGTTGTCCTATCCCACAGCACAGATCGTTGTTGCATCTGTGTGTGTGAGCCTGTGCCTGTGCCTCCTATGTCTGTGCCTGTTGCCTGCGCCTCTGCCTGGATGCCGATGGGATGGGGATCTCTCAGTTCAATGAACTGCCGTCACCTCTTGGGGCAGCAGCGCCTTGCCTATGCCTTGGCCTACGCCTATGCCAGCGTCGACAGCGACAGCGACAGCGACTGAGAGTGTGGCAATCCTTTTACTTTGGATCTCTCGCATTGCACCCTTCACTTGATCTTTACTCTCTCTCTCTCTGTCTCCTCTATGGATTCGGAATGCTGTTGAATGCCTCGCAGGAGTCCACGCTCTCAAGGGTTTCAATTCCAATTCCGTTTCAGATCTTCGCTTTGGCTGGGGCTGGGGGCTTTGGGTTTCACTCTTCTTCGAGTGGGGATATGTAAACATCGTCGTCATCATAATCGCAGTCGTTGCCTGTGTGCCTGTGCCCTGGGCCTGTGCCCTGGGCCTGTGCCCTGGGTCTCTCTCCAAGGCTGTGCCTGTGCTGCTGGTGGTGCTACCGCTTGGATTTGAGGGATGGGGACATTTGGTAGAGTCTGGGGTGTGGGGGGGACGCGTATCCCTTTCCCTGGCTGCTCTTTTTTCCGTTTCGTTGGAATGCGCTGCTTGTTTACTCAAATGTATATTTGATCTTCTTCTGGGGTAATTTTTCCTCTATCCCTCCACTCTGTTGTTGGTGTTTCTGTGTTTCTCGAGATTGAGATTCAGAACTGGAGTGCACTTGTGTTTATCTGAAAAGGATTTTCAAGGAATCACCCCGCACAGCAGATTATGTACTATATATACTATATATGTATGTATTTTTCGCTGATACCATGATATTTCTGTGTGTGTGGGGGGGATCGTCGTGATGGCATCTACAAATACAGATGTATATTGTGTATTTCTCTGTACAGTTGAGTTTGATTTAATCAACAAATGATCTGGCATGATCTGGTCAAGGCGTAGGCGTAGTGAAATCAGGGGATCGGTAGAGGTTGATGATTGAAGCGAAAGAAGCCCCAAAGACTGATGTATTCAAATGAGTATCCACTCAAGACAGGATCAACTGAGGAATTGATACATTTAAAAAAAAAACCATCCATACGATACACATCTCTATTCTGCAAACTTTAAGCCTTTCCAACGCCT